GTGGGATCCGAGCCCTGGGCGGGAGCACCGCCGCGCTCCCAAGCGGTGCACTGTAGCAGTGCGCCACCGGGCCGGCCCTAAAGCTATCTTTTTAGGTGTGTCCATGAAGGTGTTTTCAGAAGAGATTGGCATGACAGCCTGAGTGGACTGGGTGGGAAAGACCCATCCTCAATGTGGACGGGAATCACCCAATCCACTGGGAGACCCAAGAGAACAAAAAACAGAGAAAGAAGGTAAACCAGTATCTCTATCTGCTGGAGCTGGGATACACTCTTCTCCTGTCCATGGACATCAGAGCTCTAGTTTCTTCAGCTTTGGGGCTTCAGGACTTACACCAAGGACATGATTGGCTTCCATGGTTCTGAGGTCTTCGGACTTGGACTGAGACATGTTACCAGCACCCAGTTTACAGACGGCTATCATGGGACTACTCCTTGCAATTGCATGAGATAATACCCCTAATAAATCCCCTCTCATATATTTACAATATATCCTATTGATTCTGTCTCTCTGGAAAACCCTGACTAATACAGGGGGTTAAACTGTTTTCACTGGAAAAACCTAAGACAGAGAAATGTGTTGGAAAAAGGATTATATTGTATGATGTTGAATATACTAATTATCCTGATTTGAACATCACATAATGCACACAGGTATTGTTATTCAACTCTGCACCCCAATAATCAACTATGTTTCAGTAAAAAAATAAAAGAGATGTGTTTGCTTACTTTTACTCTCAATTCATTCAAACCCCAAGTGTTTGCTCTGTCCCTCTGTTCTCATGGCAATCTTATGCCTGAACTCCTAACATTTGTTCTGATACGTAATTTTTCCATATTTTATATTTTAACATGTATCTTATTGCCGTGCAATTTGACAATGCTCATTTTCAAAGATGTTTCTGAATTTAAAGAAAGAGCAATCAATAACAACTTACCAGTTGTGAAGAGAAGCTTTCTAGGATCCTGAAAAAAAGGGGGGAAAAAATGACTGAAAAATAAAACACTGATGAAATAAAATACTATAAAGAATCTGCAGAGTATAAGAACTATGTATTGGGCATGTAAGATACTGTCCTCCCAGTGGAAGTGAGAGAGACTCGGTTAAGTTTCATAACATTTTCACAATGTCAGAGGAGATTATAGCAAGTAAAAAATCCAGCTCAGAGAAGACTGCCCATCTGAGAAGGGAAGAACACTGGATAGGTCAGGAGGCCTAGGTTTTATTAACAGTAACTTCCAAGCTAGTGGCAGTGGCCTTAAGCCCACTCTTTGACTTTTTTAAGATTCAATATCTTTAAATATAATGCAAAATATTAATATGTGCTCTGCCTACTACAATTACTAAACCACACCTACAAGGTGTCGACAGTGAGAATCAAAAGTAGTAACATGTGCAGAGGGTTTGCCCACTATAAACTCAGTGCAAGGAAGACTACTTGAGAACTTATTATGTTTCAAATACTGTGAAAAAAAGTGAGGACGCTCAAATATGGACGATAGGTCTTGGAACTTGGAAATATAAGACAAGAATGTTACTTAATAGTGTTGCTATTGTAATATTTCCTTTAAACTACAACTCTCATGACATAATGAACTTAAGTTAACTCCCTTCCTACCTTCTGGAAAACTTAGATCAATCCTCAATAGATTCATGGATTTATTTTTCATCCTCATGATGCTTAATATTGTACAATCTTTTGAATTACTTTCCTTATGCCTCTATTGAATCTGGAGTCAGGCCAGGCTTTATACTAAGCAGGAGGCCATTTATATAGTGTAATTTCAGGAGTTTTGAATAAGGACAACTTTCTCAGGAAGTAGCCCTCACCCGGCTTAGGTCAATTGACTTATATTTCTGGTATTAAAAACATGGCTAAAGGGTTATCTAGAAAAACTACTAAAAATATAAGATGGGCTGGGACAAGTGGTAATATTAGAAATTTGAATAAATGACTATGGAAAACAGAAGATGAAATAATCAGGGACAGAAGATGGTATGTCAGAGTGAGAGATGTTTTCACAGATGACCAGAGGAGGCAAACAGAGCATCCTCCACGCAGAGTGAAAGCTGAAAGCAAGAACAATAAGGTGTGCGACCCAAACTGTCTTTTTCACAGGCAATTCACAGAATATCTATTTATTATATATATGTACATATATATTCACATGGACTATATATACTTATGTATATATAGTATGCATAATATTTAAATATACATTTTCATATATAAAAGTATATATAATATACTGTACTTACTAGATGCTAAATACATATATATTAAAAGAAGAGAGGAAGAAAGAACAAAGGGAGACACAAAGAAAGAAATAAAGAAAAGAAGTAAAAAGGGGGGAAATACACTTAAAACAATGAGTTGCCATTTTCATCCCTCCGATTGGTAAAACAAACAAAAAAATCCAGAGGTGAGGTGTAGACATCAACATTCTAATACACTGTTGGTAAAAGTAGGTAAACTACAAAGGCCTTTTTGGAAGGCAGTTTAGCACTGTCCATCCAAACTAAAGCTGTGTGTATACCTTTTTAAACCAAAATTTTACATCTATGAATCTGTGTAGCACAAGAGAACAAAGAAATAAATTTACTAAAGGGTGATTCATAACCACAACTTGAAATCAACCTAAGTGTCTGTGAATAAGAAAAAGACTAAAAATAAACTGTGGCAAATTCATACGAAGGGAATGGGATAAATCTGTATATTCTCATCCAGCAAGCCATAATACGTATATTTGTAGAAATAAGTAAGCTGCAGAGGAATATGTATCATGATATATCATTCAGAATATCTTAGAAGAAATAATAAAATAGTAAACTGTCTAGTTTTGGAAAAGAAGTTTTCACTTTATATTGAGCTTCTATCATTCAAAGTAAAAGAAATATAATAGCTAAAAACCCTAAAATGACTAAAAATATTGAAATAGTAAACAAAAATATATCACATTAAAATGACAAAACCATTATAGTTATTAAAGTTATATGAATTCTAAAAGAAGAGAAGGAAATGAGGAAAAGAGAAGCAAGGGAAATTGCATAGCAGGAGCAGGAAAGAAGTAATTGCACCTGAGATGGGCAGAGGGCAGGAGGACAGAGGGGTGGGGAGAGGGAGAAAAGTGGTGGCTGGGTCCAAAATCACTACATGTGAAGAGCTGTCAACAGCATTCAAAGGAGCTGAATTTTTCAGTGGTTTTCAAAGTTGGGTTTGCATTCTACAAACATGGTGAGCTCTTTAAAAACATCAGTGCTTAGGCCCCAACCCAGACCAATTAAATCATCTTAGTCTTTTTGAAAATACCAGTAGAGACAAGGGATTTATGGAAGGTAGCTTGCTATTTCGGTTTTGTAATTTGTTTCTATGTTTGTCATTACTTTTCATTTGTTATGTTTTGGGGAGAAAGGTCAAGCACATGATCACAGCAACTCTGTGACACATGGAGAAGAAAATAGAGTGGGGGAAGATAGGGAACAATCTTATTAAGTCACTACCAGACTTAGTCGGCAGAATAGGGAGGGTTCTGATTAAAGGGGACACAGAACAGTTTGGTTTTGATGCAGTCTCGGTGTTGAGAAGCAAAGGTGGCCTGAGGACAGTTATGACAGCACTGAGCAGCAGAGATCTAACCAGGGTTGTGTATGTGACGTACATCAGGCTCAGGCCCAGTACCTTGAACATATAATTTCATTTTATAAACAGCTTCACCTGGAGAAAAGCACCCCTGAGTCTGCCTGCTATAGAATTCAGTTCAAGGTCACCTATTTTGAGAATTAAAAATAATAATCATAAATGAATCATGAAAACTCACAATATATATTTTTTAAGTTAAATAAATTGATTATCCAAGGTCCACAAATAATCGACCTACTTTTCTGCCCCGTTCCCCCAAGCCCAGTATGAGTTATTAAAATATTTTTACACTGTAAAGGCACTGTCAACACTCTCAGCTGAACAATAGGAATTAGACAAAAGCTGTTGGGAGTCAGAAGGTAGGTCTGAGTGGCAACCATCTGAACACTGCAGAATATAAAAAGTGGACATTCTGCAAACTCCCATTTTCAGCAGGAGATACTATGAAATAGTAATTACCTATGGAGTCAGAAGGTAGGTCTGAGTGGCAACCATCTGAACACTGCAGAATATAAAAAGTGGACACTCTGCAAACTCCCATTTTCAGCAGGAGATACTATGAAATAGTAATTACCTATATTTTCTACTGAAAAGGAATAAAACTCAACTTGACAACTGCATTTTAAAGCACTCAACAGGAGCAGTAAGATACAAATTTTCTGTAAAAATCACAGACCCTCATTAGACATCTCATGACAAGTGAAAGAAAAAAATGGGAAGACAGAGACCACCCACCTCATCTCGGTGTCTTGCTGCATTCAGTTCAATGAAATCCTCACTGTAGTTCACTGAGAAATTGAGGGCATTCACCAGATGGGCAGCCACATGCACACCTACAGAATCACACAGGTGCAAGCCAGTGAGGTTTTCATAGATGATCTATGGCAAGGAGTCAGTTCCTCTCCCTAAGTAAGCACAGGGTAGGTCTTTGACAGCTATATGAACAATGAAATATTAAATTGAAAAGTGAAGTTTTAAAGATACAAAAAATATCTTGACTATAGACAGTTTACTGAATTTTTAAAGTCTAGAATGAAATAACACTATTAAATCAGGGTTAGAAAAAAAAATACACACACTTCCCCTTAAGTGTGTGTCTAATATTATGAATATAATATAGGTCCTTAATATTTTAGATGTTCCACATCTTTCACCACTCCCACAGTTCCAAACTTGCCATATATCTTAAATACTTCACTGCCACACAATCTAAAATAGAGGCCCACTGAAAGGTTTCTCACCAGTTGAAATTTTTCACAATCCACAAATCTAAATCATAATGTCCTTAACCTAACATCAAAAGTGTAGGGAATCACTAAATGGGGCAAAAACTCAGGAAAATAATAACCACCACTTAATAAGTAACCTATCTACAAGGGCACAGTAAATAAAATGCTCGATTGACTCAGAAAAAAGTGTTAGGAAATTACTAGAGAGTCGAAGCCAAACTCATTTTGACATAGCTAGGAAAAAAGAAACTTACCCTGAGGAGTTTGGGCAAGGAAGGAGAAAATGATCTGTGCACTAACGCACCATATCCTCTCCCGTTTCAACTTGTTATTGTAGGTGAAATAAGGTGGCAATTAACAGCACATTATAATGTATTGGAAAAAATAACAGATCACTCACTGGAACTCCTATGATTTTGGCCATATTGCTTACTTACCAGAGCCCTCAGTTTACTTCTCTGTAAAATGACGGCAGAATTGAGAGACTTATTGAAATAAGTGATATGAAATTGCTTAGTAAACTATTACAGTTTACAACAATATATAAAGTACAGTAGTTCAAAAGAAGACACGGACACGGCCTAGAGTTTGACAAACTCTATAATCCCCCACAACCCAGAATAAGATGTAGAGAAGCCAAAAGTACTGAATTTAATCATAAACACCAACGACAGTGAGAGAGGATAAGAATGCTAAATAACCTAAAATTCATTTAAAGGATTTGTAAGCACCTTCAAGTAATCAAATTAGAGGAGTGGAAAGGGCCATATAAAAAGGGGACAGGTTCAAGACAGTATAAAGTTACAATAATCAAGACATTGTGGCATTGGCAAAAGAAAAGACAAATGGATTAATGGAACAAATAGACCCACATATAGTTAACTAACCTTGAAAAAGGAGCAAAAGCAATACAAGAAAGAGACAAATAGCTTTTTTCACAAATGGTCCTGGAACAAATAAACATTCATGTGCAAAAAAAAAAAAAAATGAAACCTTGAAAAAGGAGCAAAAGCAATACAAGAAAGAGACAAATAGCTTTTTTCACAAATGGTACTGGAACAAATAAACATTCATGTGCAAAAAAAAAAAAAAATGAATCTACATGTAGACCTTACACCCTTCACAAAAATTAACTCAAGATAGATCAGAGACCTAAATATAAAATGCCGAACTATAAAACTCTTAGAAGAAGACCCAGTAAAAAATCTAGGTGACCTTGGGTTTGGTGATGACTTACTAGATACAATACAAAAGAATGATTTATGAAGGGAAGAGGTGGTAAGCTAGATTTCATTAAAATTAAAAACTTTTATTCTGCGGAAGACACTATCAAGAGAATGAAAAAAACCAGAGACTGAGAAAAAACATTTCCAAAAGACATATCTGATAAAAGATTATTATCCAAAATATACTAAGAACTCCTAAAACTCAATAACAGGAAAACAAACAAACTGATTAAACAACAGGCAAACATTTTGACAGATACCTCCCCAAGGAAAATATATAGATGGCCAGTGAGCATATGAAAAGATGCTCTACATTATATATCATCAGGAAAACTCAAATAAAAATGATAGTGAGATACCTCTACAACCTACTAGAATGACCAAAATCCAGAACATGGAAAACAACAAAGGTTGCAGAGGATGTGGAACAAAAGGAACTCTCATTCATTGCTGGTAGGAATTCAAAATGGTACAGCCCCTTTGGAAGACAGTCTGGCAGCTTCTTGCAAAACTAAATGTAATCTTACCATGCAATCCAGCAATTTCACTCCTTCATATTTTCCTAAAGGAGTTGACAACTTATGCCCACACAAAAACATACACATGAATGTTTACAGCAGCTTTATTCATAATTGCAAAAACTTGGAAACAATCAAGATGTCCTTCTGTAAGGAAATGTATAATAAACTCTGGTACATCCCAAAATGGAATATTATTCAGCACTACAAAGAAATGAGCTATCAAGTCATGGAAAGCCAACAAGGAAACTTAAATTCGTGTTACTAAGTGAAAGAAGCCAATCTGAAAAGGCTGAATATTGTGTGATTCCAACTATACAACATTCTGGGAAAGGCAGAACTATGAAGACAGTAAAAAATTAATGGTTGTCAGGCATTAGTGGGTAGAGAGGGATGAATAGGCAGATTACAGAGGATTTTTAGGGCAGTAAAACTATTCTATATATTCTACATAGTATTATAATGGTGGACATAAGTCATTACACATTTGTCTAAATCCATAGCATGTATAATATCAAAAGTGAACCCTAAAGTAAAGTATGAACTTTAGGTGATAATGATGTTTCAATCAAGGTAGGCTCATCAATTGTAAAAAAATTTGCCATTCTGGTGGGGCATGTTGAGAGCGGGGGAGGCTATGCTGTGTGAGGGCAGGGAGTAGATGGCAAATCTTTTTACCTTCCTCTAAATTTTGTTGTGAATATAACCTGCTCTTAAAAAGTTCCTTAATTTTTTTTTTAAAAGAAGAAAAATGTGGACAGGTATCTGGAAGCAGATTAAGTAACAAGCAAGAACCAGGTTCCAAAGAAGTAAAACAAGGGTGTCTAGATGTGACTCAACTTTGGCACAAATATAAAACATTATTTAAGCAAAACTATCTATCTCCTATAGCTTTATCAATACAAAAATCTAGTAAATATATATATATATATTCCATTTTAAGTTAAAGGCTTATATGTTAACTATATACTTTATGGCTCAACAAAAACAAAGATATCATTAGAAGAATTATTATTTTCTCTGAGTTCCCATGGGGGAAAAAAAGTCATAGGTATCAGCTATATAAAATACATCACTAAGGGATATATTCACCCTTTT